ATGAATGAGATACAGGTTAAGAGCATCACTTTTAATAGCCTCAAGGGCTGCATATCTGTAAAAGCCTCAAGACAAGTGGAAAAGTCTATTTTTGCATAACCCTTTGTCAGTGCACATCTTAATTAAAATAACAAAATCTTCCATACATTTTCTCCAAGAAGTATATTCTGTATTATTCCATCTGAAATATAAACAGGCAGTTATGATACCAAGTTCTTCTCACTCAGAACCAGGTGTGAAAAAGCAGTGTCACTTAGCTGCAGGAGAAGCAAATCTGTTTATTTTAGGATGTTAAATACCATACCCTGTTATTCTTTAACAGCCTACAAAGGGGACAACCTTCCTCAAAAAGCAGCAAGGTATGCAACACAAAATGTTGAATAGAGAATATTTCTGTCTTTAAAGATAAATTCACAATAAATTTTCTTTAGATGGATAGAACCACTCAAATACAACTGATGTTTTATTCAATGATTGAATAGTTTACATACAGTGATCTTAATTCTGTATTTTGTGGAATTAAAGGCAAATGTAGTCTACAGAAATAGCAGCATAACTGAACAAATACTATGTGCTGACAGAATCTGGATGTTTTAAAATTCTGACTTCATGGAAGAAGGATTGTCTCATGAGAGGAATCTTAGTCATTAGTAGAATTCATATTGCAGCATATGAAATAATCTCTATGAGGGGAGTTATTTTGAATAGCAACTTCATGACAGTAGTATCATTTCCAGTATTTGTACAACTTTTGATGTGCCTGTTTATATATGATGTAATTTGGGGGTATTTTATTACTTATCTAGCCCTTAATATCAAGCATTGAACACCTCAGCCAGTGTAATGAACATAATAGTAGAATAGGTCATGTAATGTTTGCCATCATTTTCAATAGTCTTAAGGTGTTACTGCCAAAGTGAACAACATTCAGTAACAGTACAAACCCCATCAGTGTTTCACAATTGCTTACACTTTGGTTTATTGTCACTTATAGCTGAATCTTTTTGGGTGCTGTGAGTTTGTGTTCATTGTTAACCTCACTGGAGTCAGCAACAGTTATTATAAAGCAGAATATATATGACTCTGAAGTTAAAAGCATGAGCAAAAAGAGTGCATCTCAGTGTCCTAAACTGCTACTGCAGCTGTGATGCACTATAGGCAAACCTATAGTTTTTTGACAGTGGTATATAAACATTTATGGAGCATAGATGCAGGCCAAGTTTTAGAAAATCTTCCCTGCACTTTTGAACATGAGAAAGGGTCACTGAATATATTTGGCATTGGTGGTCACTGAATGCCTTTAGGTTTGTGACAATGGAGACTAGTTTGTAGCAGCACATTTTTTAATAATACTGTTCTTTAGTGGACAGCTTCAATAGATTTGTTGTATTTTTTTTCCTCCTTATTTCTTTTCTTTGGGAACCTGACACCATCCCTTTTCAATAGCATTCCCCCAGACCTAGATGCAGAACTGAATCTTAACTCTGGAAATTTCACAGGCAACAGGTTCTCTTTCAGCTCTTTCTATTTGCTGTGTTGATGCATGGAGCAGAAGACCTGTTTTACCTTAGCAGACTTTACTAGCAAGACTCTAAGCAGTTGATGGGTCCAGATAAAAACTCAAAACTCATGTTTGTGCTAATACAGCAGTTATTTGCTGCTTGCTGTCAATTTTCCACTTGTTAGTGTTGTAGAGCAGGTAAAAAAAAGCTGTAGCCTCACTGGGACTGGCAATACTTACACAGGCCAAGTTGTAAATAAAGGTTATAGCCTTCTGCTGCTGGGCATTAAATAAGCAGATAAATTTCTCTTTGCTGTGGATTTATTCAAGGCAGATGTTTTTAGTGAGCTCTGGAAAGGTTAGGGAGGAATATAAAACCTGCTGCAGTTCTGGAATTGATCCATTAGGATCAAAACCTAGTAACCAGTGATTCGTTTAAGGGTCCCTGACACTTTTATGGCAAGACTATGTATTTCAGAGAGGGCTGGCTCAGTTTGAAACACATTCCAAACCCAAACCTGAAATTAATCCTTGCAACAGAGCAATTCTGTAAACTTCTGCTTTCCCATCATTTCATTTTTGATAAAAAGTGAAAGAAAAAAACCCCTGAGTTTGGGAAGGGAATGAGTCAAACTTTTGAAAGGAAATGGCATGCTGATCGCCTGTGTTTGTAATTTTCTGTGTGGCATTTCCTCAGTGTAGAGGTGTGGATGAACAAAATAATACAGACATAGCAAGCATAAAATAAACACATATGGAAGAAATGGAAAAATACTTAGTGTGGGCTCAGCCATGTGATACTGGAAGGGCATGTATAGTGGTCTACCAGAGCTTGACGGGTCAGGTAAAAATGGCCTTGTGTGGTCCAAGAGGGACTTAAGAATATGATAAAACAAAATGAAAAATGGAAGGAAGGTGTTTCCCATTGCTTCAATCCCAGTAGTTCCCTGGGATAAGTGATGGAAGGTTTATGCTTGAGAGTCTTGAAGCAGGATTGAATAATACATAGAAGAAAACACCAGAATGAATAATTATGAACTGGAAAAAAAAGTAAATATATTAGGTGATGTGTAATTGATGACTTATATTCACTGGCCAGAATCTCAGCAGGTGTAAACAGATGTGGCTAGACTAACGTTAGTAAAGAGGTTGTGATGTAATGCACTGAAAAGGTGGTTCTTTCTTCACACCAATTCAAATGCTACTCTGTCATTTCACTGTATTGTATTACTTGAAATAGCAGTTTCAAAGCCATTTTGCCTCAAATGTTTCAAATTCACAGAAATCCTAATATCCATTGAAGCAAAAATGAGAGGTAGAAACTCCATTCTAATACACTGTCTGCCTTTGGGTAAATCAATCTTTCTGTTGGTTTCTTAATCTAAAATGAAAAGGTAGGTAGGAAGGCATTGACAAGTTAATGGTAAGAAGCAGTTCTTTGGTACAAGTCACTTGTTGTACCAGTAAGCACATTACCAACTAACAAGAGTACACCACTGTAAAAATCTCATATCGATGCTTCACAGCTCCCTTTTTCTGAAAATGAGATGTTCTGAGAAAAACAGTCCTGGGACCCTGCCCTCTGAGTAAGCACTCTGTGCTGGAGTAGTGTTAGGGGGCATGGCTGAGTGGGAGATGCTGTTTTTCAGAAGGCATGGGAAAGAAAAGATATGGCTGCAAAGAGCTTTAGAAAAATACTGTGGTATTTTTAAACAGTGATCAACTCTCCATTGTGCAGGATCCCACAATATATTCTTCATAGAACATGGCTCTTACTTAGGTAAAGATAGAAAGAACTTCTCGTTTGTACCAGAAGTGGAAAGTTTCTCCAGCTTATTCAGCATATTCATGCTCTTGGCAAACGTGTCCTCTCTATATATGTGTTCAGTAAGTAGTGCCAGGAAGAAGGGATCACCACATCATTGGCAAAATTAATTTGTCTGAACTGATACCCAAGGAACTAAAGGAAAGAGAAGAATTTCTGACAGCTATAGGTTAAGCTCCAACAGATGAGAAACACAGCTGGAGTGAGGTGGTGCTGGATTAAAAATGAAAGGTTTTGAAAGAAAAGAACCTAAGAATGGGTAAGGTTGGTTGGGTAAAGATTGTAATTTGGAATGTAAGTGCTGTGCAGTCAGAAGAAAGCAGAGCTGAAATGCAGATTGGAAACTGAGAAGAGAATGCTGGGAGGAATTTGCGCAAGCCACAACCAAGCCTTCTTCACATCAAGACAGATCATCAATATTTGCCCACCTGGAGGTTGAAGGGACTTCCTGTTCAGTTGCCAAGATTTGATAACATAGTTCAAAATGCTCCTTTTCCAGTGAGCAAACATAGCCACAACTATTACTCATCCCAGCTCATCTTGATCCACTCAGTTACTTCATGACATGTAGGCAAAGGATCAAAGAGTCAGAAGATGGAAAGCTATCATGTCAGAGTGGGGGAATAGGAAAGAAGGGGGAAATACTGTAATCAGGAGTTGTTATGACGACTAGGGAAGTGTGCTAACAGTTAACACATACTAAAGCGACCTTCAAAGAGGATGGCATCTCTCATAAAGCAGAGGAAGAACCTTTGCCTGAGGAGTTAATTTGTTGGTGGAAAATGGTGTATGTCTGCTTTTTCCATTTTTTTATGAAAGAAAGACACAGATCCTCAGCAGCTTTCAACAGCTCAGCTGAAATCAAGAACTCCATTCTCAGTTATACCAACTGAGAATCTGACTGCAAATCTGTAGATAACATTAATGCCATAGCAGGCAAAGATATAGTAATATGGTTGCTATTTAATGAGCACAGGACTGCTTCATTTTGTTGAAAACACTTCTTTGGGCTACCAATAGACCACAAAGCTCTTTAAATTGAGCAGTGTGTTTGTGTGAGTACGTGTAAGTCTTTCTAGTCCCCCTACCATCATAACATGAGAATGACCCTTAATGACACTTTTCTCAAATTGCAGTTCCTTATCTTCTGCCTTTAAAGATCAAGACAAAATTTGGCATGTGTCTCCATTTCTTGCCTTTATATTGTCAGGAGCTACTCTATCTCAGCACATTTGAAAACTAGATGGCTCCATACAGATTTACAATATAAGCCTAATCCTTGGCAACCATGCTAGAAATTTTTGGTCCAGATATCTTGTAGTCTTGCATACTTAGAGTTACAGTAGTACTACTGCCCTCGAGTTTCTGAACAACAGGAATCCAGGTCTCAGGATTCTTTGTTGGCACTGTCACTATGCTTCTGCAGGTAAACCATTCTAGTGGGAAACTTTTCTGTGTAGGTATCTATCTGCCTGACTAGTCTTATGATTTTAAGTTTGACTTATCCAAGAGTTTTTTCATTTCATTATATTCTGCCATTTGGCTTGCAAAGAGTATGTGTTTAACAGCTCCTGTGTCAAGAACTTTCCACTGTATTGCTAAACGTCCAACATTTCTTCCTAATACCATCATCTGTTATGTTTGCATTCTTTCTCCACTCTCACATCTTTGCAGGTCAGAGGCTACCCTGAGCCTCGGATCACGTGGTACAGAAATGGACATCCTGTCCCAGAGGGAGACCGTTATGTCGTGGACCGCAGCATTCGGGGGATATTCAGCTTGGTAATCAAAGGTGTACAGGAAGGTGATGATGGTAAATACACTTGCGAGGCTGCAAATGATGGTGGAGTTCGTCAAGTGACCGTGGAACTGACAGTGGAAGGTAAGAGGATACTTACACTGTAGTTGCAATTATTATAGAGTTTAATTAAATGAAAAAGCTGTGTTAAACTGTCTGGTTAAAATCACAACTGTACACCCATGCTTTCTTCCTGGTGCAAGACTAAGATTCATTAACTGCATTTCACAGTTTAAGACATTTTGCAGGGAACTACATGTCTATAGCTAAAGTGTGTGTTCAGTTTCTCATGTGTATGGTTGATGCCCAGGTAACAAAAGAGCTAGCTTTAAAGACTTTGCTATAAACTTTGTAATTTTCATGGAAGCCACCACTCAGGACAGAAACAAAGGCCTGGAAAGTTATCGTTTTCTCTCAGGCAGTAAAAACTGTGGTGATCTTGGCTGCATCACAGTCTATCAGATAGGCACGCTGAGGCAATGGGTTTCTGGACTTCTCCACACTTGCTTCCATTTGCTAAGCTGAAAGCCTGGTTGTAATTGCATGGTTAATGTCACACGGGAAATAGCCAGGATCAAACCCAGGAATTTTTAAGAGAACATCTGTGTATTAGATAGTTGCAAACTGCCAAATTTAAAATGTAAAGAGTCACACAAAGCCATGGAAGAATGGAAATCAATTGTACTACTTCTCTCTTTGCAATTTGGTCATGTTAGAGATTGGTTGAATATCAAAGCTCCTCAGGTCGCAACTTTGTGTTGAATTCTTGAAGCAAAGAAAAATCCACAACAGTCCTGAAACCGGCATTTGGGTTTATTCAGAGTCAAAATCTCTAACAGATATCCTCAGAGTACATACTGAAATATGCATAGATCTGGTGTGATTGTTATTTCCTTCTGTTGTAAAAATTATACAAAATCTCTTTTTTCCCTAGTTTTAAGTTGTGACAACTTTTATGAGTGACAACTTGCATGGAGGGGAAGGATTTTTTAAAGCTAGTTTTATGTCAGTTTTTATGACCTGGGCTTTGCTGCAGTTTAAAAGCAATTTCATGGCAGTACCCAATGACTGAATTTCTCAGAGTTTAAGAATTACATGGTCAGCAAAGATATCTATGTCGGGCTGACTGCTACTTGAAAAAATGAGTGACTGAAACACAATCTAGTTTTTCCATGGTGCATGGATGTCCGATTTGACAGTAATGTAGATTCTTGTAAGACTCTAGAACAAATTTTTTTCCCCAGCCATCAGAGCTGTCTGTTTCATGTGGCCACTCTAGATATACCCCAGGTCACTACCCTTTTTTAATGTGCCAAAGCTACCAGCAATGCTTGTGTGCAGTAGATGGCGCTGAGCTTACACCACTTCGTACACATCTCCCTGTTGCTATACCCAGCAAGCATGAACAACTATTGTGCTTCAAAAAGAATCATTTTATAGAAATGGTTGTCTGGGTTAGCACAGGACTAAAAAACAAACTAAGTAAAGTAAGACTTCTTTCAGAGTCCAAAGCCCTTTTTTGTTACCTTAATGTGAATTAGTGCTGCACTGTAGAAATTAGACACAGTGTTTCATTCAGTAATTTTAAAATATTTTTGAACTAATAATCTGCAGTGTTGTTACTGCTGAGGCCAGGTAGTAGATCGTAACTCTGCTAAAACTTGTTTTTGAAATTGGAGAGCCCAACTTTGGACTACAGATGAGATAATCAGATACTGCAGGTGTTGCATTCCTCCTTTGTGTTTGAAACCTGGAGAAAGGCATATTTTACATAGTCTTTAGTATCTGTAATTCCCAGTGGTCTTGACAAAACTTCTGACTTCCTGTCTTTCTTATGCTTACAGGAAACTCCTTGAAGAGATACAGCCTGCCATCCAGTGCCAAAACCCCTGGGTAAGTAGTCCACTGGCTTTGATATTGTTTAACAGACACCTAAATATGTTTTGGTAGGAAAACAAGTAAAATGACTCTTTTAAAGAATAACTACTTCTCTCCATTTTAAATGCCTCTTGCATTTTGTCTTTAGCTCTGATGTACTTTGCAGGCCAGTCAAAAAGGGTTGGATTCTTGTCCAGTTCTCAGTACTTCCTCACTGGAAACGTACCCCCAAGGCTCCTTACCTGTGCAAGAATCAGGGGTAATAGAGGAAAGAAAAGCCTGATTGTTAACCACTCAGTTCTGCACAGCATTGCAAAACAATAGAGTAACTGTTTGGCATGATTTCTCACACTTGGGCGACGGGGATTGCAAGAACATCTGGGCTCTCAGAGGCAGGGCAGTGCCAGCTACAGCAGCATCTGAAAACAAACACTTCAATATTTGTGAATTCAAATGCTGTAAATCCAAGTCTCCATTTATGCCAAGCAAAACAGCTACCATGAGAGCTGCCCTGCTAGTAAAATGGTTGAGGCTGTCAGGAAGACATGAGCAGCTTGATACAGTTACTGCTTCCTCATACAGATAGGAACTAATCTGGCTGAAAACAGAACATTCTGATGGTATCTGCAATATTGCACCCTCCTCTGCTGCAATATTGCACCCTCCTCTGCTGCAATATTGCACCATCTTGTCTCTGCTCTCTGATACTCAGAAATCCTTCCCCACATCTTCCATGACCTAACAGTCTCCTTATAAAGCCAGAGCAAATACTGCTTTAGGAGTAATCAGTAAGAAACAAAAGCAATTTCAAATCAGCATTCTCTCACATATAATTAAAATATTTCCAAGCAACACAGTGGGTACACTGTAGTCTAGAAGAAAGAATTGTTCTGGTTTGGAGTAACTGTTAGCAAGAATGGGTTGATGGGGTGATCTACACTGGCACACAGAAGAGCCTTCTTGCTGGCATGTACTTTCTGCACTTCAGTAACAACCATTTACAATTAAGTGAATGCCACTGTTTTAAAAGCCCCAGGCCTAATTGTATTTATTTCTTTATAAAATGCTTGAATTTAAGCAGAAGTATTTCTGATTTATATTCCTAGGATTGAGTTGTCCTGGACGTAGACAAAAATACCTGTTTCTGTTTATCAGAATACAGATAGTTAAAAATGAAATTTTTAATTTCATCAGTGATATGAATATTGATTTATGTATGTTTTGAATTTTAAAATTAACTGAGATTACAACAATGAAAATAGTAAGTGAAACAGAGTAATCAGGAAGGCTTTTATATGATAATGTCTGTATCACAAATGTGTGACAGAAATACACACATGCTAAATAATCAAAGCAAGAAAGGACAGTTGAGGTTGCTCTTAGATTTTGTAATACATTCAGACTTTCCAAAGCACTATCCTAATCCATTGCATTGCATAGAGTTAGAGTGATTGTCCTCATTTTTAATTCTCATGTGTTTTGCTCCTATTCAGTATTAGTAATTTTATGGTATGGAAAGTTTATGCCTTCCGTAAACAGGGAAGAGGGAAAAGAAAAAAAAGTTTCAGTTTGTGCATATCTAGGAAACAGCCATAAAACTGCAGGCAAGCTAGTAGTTGATTTTCTTTTAATGCATTCATATATGTGTATAGATATATAAATATGAAACCACCTAAAGATGGTCACTGAAAGACTTCTTTAATACACACTTATGCTGCTCTTTAGTGTTAGCATGAGGAAGATGACATTAAAGGCTATCAGATATTTCGTTATATGGATAAGTGTTTTCCATTTTAGCATATTACAGTCACCCTTCTCTTCTAAGACTTTTTGCTGGTCCTTCTGTCCATGTAAATCCTTTCATTATGGTATCATCTCTTACTTAGAAACTTTGAGCTGCCTATATGGCAACCATCATGTCTTGGCAGCACCATGGACTGAGGCGATGCAGTATCTGTTAGTATCTGACACCTGGCAGAAATGGTGAGGTATTGACACATCTTACTTGCACGTGGTAAAAAGTCATCTGGAAAAGGTGGCCTTGAAAATGGTTCAGTTTGCTTGACATTAAAGGTTAAAAAAAAAAAAATATCACCATCTGCCATCTGCTAATGTGTGTCTTTGTTGTACCAGGGCTTTAGAGCAAAGAGTGTAAGTGTTCCCTTTGACATTAACAGACCTGACATTGCACAAATTGCACTTTTTCTTTTTTTGTGTGCTATAATACTGCTTGGTGTTTTATGTTTTATGGCTGTGTAACTGAGGGTTTTGGACTACAGTCACTAATGTCACTCTAGTTTCATTCCACATGTTGTTTCCCAGCTGTGCCATCAGCTGGGAAACATCCCATCTACGTAAGTAGAGATGGGCATTTACACTTAACAGATATTCGGTTTTGTGCCCTTTTCATGTTTGCTTTGCAAACATTGTAGTGAATGAGATTCCAAACAGAAACCTTCCCCAAACCAAAAATCTTTACCAGGACATGTCAGAAATATTGCAAAAACAAGCTGCTGATCATAAATCAGAAATCACTGTGTCATTGAACTCAATGTCAAAACAAAGTACATGATAAAGAACTGTGAACAGTGAACAAGTATGCGCAAATAAAATATTAGGAAACAATTAAGAAATAGAAAAGAGGAAAAACTAAATGCATGCAGTGTTTCCTATCATTTGATTTGCCCAGCCCTGCTTATAAGCAACTGAAATTGTCGCCAAGATCTGTTATGTGAGTTATGTGTATGCTGGATGGGGGTGTGTAGCATCATGCAATTCAGTTGCATGAGGAGTCAAGAGCAGTCATCACCAGCATTTCCATTTTTTCCATTGGCCAAAAAAAATATTGTGTAACTACAGTCTTGCTTACCACCAATCATATATCCTTGCTGGCCGACAGACCACTGGTCTAAAATGCTTCCTGAAGTATGCTCTACCCACAGCAGCTTCCAGTTCTTCTGTGAAACCAGGATGTCAATTGCCTTTCCAGGGGAAGAATTCCTGTTCCATCTGTGGAGCATAGGCCAAGCATCTGGGGAGAGAGTCCACCCAAGTTTGCTACAAAACCCAATAGAGTTGTTGTGCGTGAAGGCCAAACAGGCAAATTCTCATGTAAAATAACAGGACGACCTCAGCCTCGAGTAACTTGGTTTAAGGTATGATTTCCCAAGAAGTTCATGTTTTCTTTCTCTTTTGAAATTTTGTGACTTGAAAGGATGAAATGCAGTTGCAACTGCAAATTCTCACGGTGAGAATTTACATGCAAACAGAGCCATATTGCTCCTCATTTTCATGCTGAATAAACTCATAAGAGGTAATAGCGTCCCTTCTCAGTATAAACGTCTCCCTTATCTGTCTCGTTGAAAATATTTGTATAAAAAAATCATCTGAAAGCACCAAACAAGATCCAGGTTCCATTATAAAAATAATTAATATGGGATCTTCTTGCCCAAAGACCTTACTAACCAGATAAAAGAAATACACAAAGGATGGGAAATGTGAATATTATTGTTCTCTCTGTTTTATAGAGAAGGTCTGCAGGGATTTAATGCTTTGACTATGGTTACAATGGAGTCTCTGACAGCTGTGAAAATTAGAGCTGTATTTCCCAAGTTCCATGTCGGTGGCTCAGTCATAAACTGCCTTTACTGTATCACTTACTTGGGTCTTACCTGTACATTAGAATGAAGAAGATGTTTGCAAAGAAATGATATTTAATTGAAAAGAAAATTAACTACTTAGGAATTAACAGACATGATTGGGTTTTGGCATGCACAACTGTTTTTTGCAAATTAAAAAAAAAAAATGTCCAAGGCAGATGAACAACAGTTCAACTGTTTCAGTCTGACTTTTGCTAAAAGAGTGATAGCAGAAAATAAAGGAAACCTGAGCCATCAACTTCAGATCTTCATTGAAAATGGGAATTGTGAGTGTCTGTCATTTACAAAAAAAACTTTATGAATGAGCAATATTTAAAATTCATTAGCCTATTAAAAAAAATTTGAAGCCGTAGTGCCCCCTTTGGGCATACACAAGATCTCCAAACACTTTTTTTTGTTAGTAAGGAGAGAGCTTTCTGGTGATAATTAAATATTACACTGATTAGGCTATTTGTACTGAAACTATTAGTATTTTAGAGAATTACAATTACTTTCTTTAATTTGGAAGAACAAATATATGACTGCTTTGTAGGCATCCTGCTCCCTTTCAGCCTTCAACAGACAGTTGCCTTATGTATTGTGAAAAAATGAAAGCTTTTCTCAGAGCTTTTATTTTCTTCTGCAGTCTCCAGGTAATCGGGGCAGGGCGGGGAAAGAAACCATTAAAAAACCCAGAAAGCTGCTCATAGAGCAGGGAAATGCTTCCAAGTAATTGTCTGCTTTATTCCAGACTTACGCTTGTTGTATGTAGTACAAGAATGTCAGGGTATGTCTCAGAAAACTATCAGCCTCTTGCTGTGGAAGCACTCACTAAGGAATCTCCTTCAGTTGGCGACTCCATCAAGAAACTGCTTCTCTGTCCAGGTGCTGTCTGTGCTTTTGGGCCTGCTGGCTCTCTAGGCAGTCTGCAATGCAGCTGCTCCACAGCAGCCTGCTACCAGTCCTGCCAGACTCGCTCAGGTTTTTCAGAGCAAAAGAGGTTTTGCCATTCAGTTCTCTTTCTTCAGGGCTGTGTGATAAACAGCGAGTAGGGATTAGCAGTCCAGCAGCTTGGATCTACACTTTGGTACTTCTTCATACATGTGTTTGCAGTTTGTTTGAGGTTATATTATATCTTTTGCTATTGGTTGTTAGCTTCCATAATATGTTCACAGAATCACAGAATCACTAGGTTGGAAAGGACCTTCAAGATCATCAAGTCCAACCATTAATCCAGCGCCACCATGTCCCCTAGACCATGTCCTGAAGCGCCACATCCACACGTTTCTTGAACACTTCCAGAGATGGCGACTCCACCACCTCCCTGGGCAGCCTGTTCCAATGCCTGACCACTCTCTCAGTGAAGAAATTTTTCCTAATACCCTATAATATTATTCTATAGTCTGGCATTCACTGTCTTTTCAAATGAATGAAGTATGTAAAATTCTTTAGAAGCTCCATGAGTTCTGTTCTTGTTTATGTCCTTAAAAAACGTATTTCAACACTTGCAGATTTGCATAAATTATTCTGTAAAATACCACAGATGGTGGTGTTCAGAGGTTCA